GTATCACATTGAAATCGTACGACTGTCACGTGCGCCACCATGGGAATGCCCATATCATTTTATTCGTATTCTCTTAATAAATCTATTAATATAAGTGTAATTTATTTTCATCAATTGCTTCAAAAGTTAGACGAGGAATAAACATGAAATAGATAGAAAACAAAATAATAAGCTGTGTGCAAATTACGCTGTGTGGAATGGAATAAAAATTACGCTCAAAATCGCAGAATATATTAGCTTTAAAAGTTGGTTTATTCTGAAAGCACACCTCTTGTTAAAGAATCAAATTATTCGTAATTGTTTGTAGAATACAATACATACTTAAAAAGTTCTCAAAATTAAATGCTTCAAAACCTATACGCGATAAACCGAAAATTTTGAAATTTGTTAAATATGGAGTTACAGACTTGGAGTTACATTGCCATTTAGCGTGTTTTTGGTTCCTTTTTTTATCACAAATGCAAAAGAATATAGACCTCCAATGATAGCTTCATGGTTAGTCCTTTTATTAAAACAAGAAAAAGGATAGGTGTTAAAAAAAAATAAACCTAATGAGTAATAAAATTATAGTAAAATAACAAAAACACGATTTTCTTACAATAAGAACTAAAAGGAAAAAAAAATATTTATTGATTTACGTTAAATAAGGATATGAAGTTCCCTAATTTGATGTTATTTAACCTTTTAGACTAGCTTAAAATAGGATTAAAGTAGTTAGTCGAAATTAGGTCCACTGAAAAGTTAGTTGCAGTTATTTTTTACAGGCATCCCATGAGAAACATACAGTACCCCATTGGTAGAGGGTTTCGGGTGCACGAATTTGTTGTAACATCAGGAGTTGAAGACTTGATCTAGCTGCTAGTCTCTTAAAATTTCCTCCAATCACGTCGTAAGCAGATTTCNCCTTTCCTCTTTCAAAAATATACAATTTCATAAAATTTCAATGTCTATTTATCATATTGCTCGAGCGTTAGACGATCTAGAGTCCATACGCATTAATATCGCATTACGCCCATTTGGGTACTTAAAGTTGACATTATAGACAATGTTTTTATGTAAAACTGAATTTTTTTTTAAATGCTATAATCAAAAGGAAAAATGTTTGTTTATTTTTTTTTGTTTTTTATACGTAGCACATTAAAATACTTTTTTTTTCTTAAAGTTCCGTTTGAAAGGTTTCCAAGATACAGCACTTTAAAGAAAGGTATGAATGACGTTTTCTTAAAATATAAGTTCCGTGTAAATAGGTAACCCTACGTCATATCGTCAAAATATGCTGCACGTACACTTATGTCACCTAGACCTTCAATCCCTTCAACCTTCATCCCAATCCTAAGAGGTCGCGCACAGTGGTGACCGCGTCGACATGAAATGCCTATAAACATAAACACAAAAAACGATAGAGACAAAGATAAAGATGGGGAACGTGATAAAGATAAAAAAGGAAATATAACTAGATAATGCGCGATATGTTTTGTTATGGTATGTGATGTTATGTAATATTATGTTATGTTATGTAGTGCTATGTAGTATTATGCTATGCTAAGTACTAAATTAAACTCCCCTCGACTTAACCCATGCCAACTAATGTCATTTTATCTCAACTCACCAACTCAACTCACATGAATTTCAATCGCTGGGCGAACACTAAAACACACATAAATAAATTACAATAGTATTTTTTACAATTTATTTACCATTTGGTTTTACATATTTAGAATGCTGTACTTATATTAATATTTTGTCCATGTTAGGAGCTATTAGATTTAGTGTCTGTAAGCAGACTTTGTATGCATTTGGTATGAAATGTTGAATTACTAGATGAACTCTGAAATTACGTTAATTACCTTGATCATCAAGTAATTACCACAAGGGCACTTCAATAAACAGCGTCATGCACATTTTGTGTAATTCTAGGTATACATACATATGTATATGTAAATACGTTTGCTTACAAATGCACACGGCAATGTTCGTCTAATCAAATTTCAAATTTTAATTGTTAGTACATGTAATAGCATTAGTGGGTAGTATTTGACCCAAAATAATTAATACTTAGATTATATTTTAATTAAAAAACATAAATTGATTACTGTTAAATTGGTCAAAATTCAATTAGCGTCAAAAGCAGTTAGATAAGCTAGAGCAGGATTTAATTATAATTAACATGTACTTACTCATGTAAATATAAATTGTTTCAGCTATTAGAAAGTCTTAATTTAGTGGACTTGCCATAAGCAGCTTATTGTTATTTCGATTGAAACCCTTATGAGCTTTTACAGCTACATATGGACATTTGTAAGTATGTATTTCAGATTTCTTCTTAACTTGTGGATTCGTTAGTCAAACGCTCCTTGCGATAAGAAAAGTAATTATTGAATTACGTGCATTAAGTGAAAAGATGTTTCAAAATTAATTTTTTTATAAAAAACTGAAAGTGATGTTGAAAATTTACATAAAGTAAAACAATTGAGTGATTCATAACGGTGTAGTAAGTGTCGTATTGTTGTATGTCGTAAGCTTTAAAAGCTTAAATAAATGTTAAGAGAACTTGAAACGACGACCAATTATTTTTTTACACTGCGAAAATTCATAATATGACTTTGATGGAACTTTGCGAACCCCCTTAATATATTTTTTAGGCGTTTAAAGTTTACGACATACAACAATACGACACTTACGACACCGTTGTGAATACCCCAAATGTAAATTCATAGAGCGGCACACAATTTATTCAATATAATGCATACAGTGGAAGTGTACAACAACCTAGCGAACAATTAGGTTTGATTTGCATTTGAGACTGATTTGAAATCTAGGTAATTACTCAAATGGCAAATGATTTGATATTGATTACGGCTTTCTCAATAAAAAGGGGAGTTTGATCTCCATTTGAGAATATAGTTAATTCTCAAATCAATTTCAAAGGTTATTTATCAAATGCACTTCAAGTGAGAAAATAAAAAATATTATATGAAATGTATATTTTGAGTGCTAATAAATTTGTTTTGAAGGGCTGCAGCTAGGAATTCCGGCTGGTTATCGTCACTCCATGCAAACATCATATTCAATTCAACTTTATTCTTACAATTCTTGATTTAACTGTGCACTTTTATTTCTCGTTTGACAATTCACCATTTTAGAGATGGACAATTCTTAGCCAAATGTATCGACCATATTTCTTCAAATCAATCTCAAATGTACAACGCAAACCTCGTTTTCAATTTGAGAATAATTTAAGAAAAACATTTGATATCAAACTGAGAAATGATCTTTTCTAAAACGTTTGAAACTGTGTTTGCTGGAGAGTTAAATCCGGATATATGTATAATAAATACCATTGGATACATAAATAACAGAGTTCGAAGACTTTTGTCTTATTGTTTGTTTAATTTAAGCACATCGTTTCTTGTAAAGCAGAATTGCTAAAGCACGTCCAGATTTTGAGATATCCTAACCTCAAATATTGCTAAAACCGTTAGGGGTATTCTCTGAGTCTTACAAAGCCCTTGCACGGTGCACAGATTGCACGGCAAAAACCTGTTTTCGTAGGGGACAGCTTTGCAAACCGTGCAATCCGTGCACCGTGCAAGGGCTTTGCAAGAATCAGAGAAAACCCCTGAAGTGTTTCTCTCAGGTTGTAAAATTTTGTTGAACTGTGTAGTTTAAGTTTAGAAAATGAGCTTCATTTATTATGAAAACGTACAGAGAAATATCTTAAATTTAAGAAAATTTAAGATTCTGCCATATTTTTGGCTACAGATTTTTCTATTATTAATTCCAATCTGCACTGTATTCTAAAAGTGAGTGTTTTCACAGTTATTTCTTTATTTATGACACCTTAGCATCTTTAAAATCCCGGAAAGACACTTTTTTAAATGAAAGAAATAGAGGGAAGCAGTATATATTTAAAAGTAAGTGCACCTGGGCCACACTGGAGAAGTGAAACTTACGTTACATATCTATTTTGTCAATAAACGTGAATTTTGTATATTATACAAAAACCCAATTTGTTAATACCATCGGAGATTAGGGCATTCGTGAGAAGTAAGTAAAAGATTATCTTAAAGAATCGGCTCCCCCATTGATGCCCGCTGCCGGAATCACGAGGATTTCCGGCCCCTAAATTGCCCCGTTCGAATAGGCTCTATCACCTTTTGTTTAATTGCGGTAGGTACTCAAACTTCGCACAAAATCAGGTTTTGCCGTTCTATAAATTCCTATAAGTGACCATTAAGTCAAGGTGCAGGGATGTTACATTCAGGAATATTAGTCGAGACCTCTAGTTTTCATATAAGCCTAATATCGCCTATTGTTTCTTTGCTAGAGCTTCTAAAATATTGAAAAAAAAACTAGATTTTTTGACACTTTGACCTCGGTATTCTCAAAATCTTGAGCTGACGGAAACTTTATATTCACGGATTCGTAATCAGCACGGAAAAGACAATCAAAATCAGCTTTAACGTTTGAAGCAACAAAATGTTTTCCCATTTTTGTTCCCTTGTGTAATAAATTTCAAAACAAGGTGCCAAGTAGACACAGTTATTAATTTTTTACAGTTATATGGTAATAGTCTTCATCTTTTTCTCTTCGGAATTTAGTTTCCAAGGTTTCAGTTTATCTATCGTATTTTTTTATATCTACTAGGCGAAGAACATTGTTAAAAAGTAATTGTTCTTTAAAAGGATATATTAAAAAAACTAAAAACAATCTTTTCTTAATTTTACATAAGTATACTAAAATATGTATGATGTGAAGCATTTGACAAAGTTATGGCTATGGCGTTGTGGACCTATGGTAACTGGACCTTTGCCTAAATTTTTACTATTGTCGTTTTTATTATTAATTTCAGTTATGTACCTAGTTTTGTGCTTATAATCAAATAAATACATAAAAATAAATCAAATAAATAACAGAGATAACCTTAAAGAAGAACAAAGCCTTCTCTTATAAAGTTACGTTAAAAACATCCTAAAAATTCCCATTTTGCTGTATTTCAGGGATGGTTTGTCGCACTCAGCGCTTAAGGAGTCAGACACAAAGAGACTGGAAATCCTTCGTAATATCACCGATCTACTAGGGCGTACATTTTCATCGCAATTCGTGTTTCCAGTGCTAGGCCATGAAGATGGCACAAATAACTTTCGACATATGGGCGAACTTTGGCGGCATTGGCTGCCATCGGAGGCATTGCATACGTTCGAAAAAGGTGAGTACTAACTTTATATATGTATAAACTGGCCAAAGCCCGCTTGCGACGGATAAGAACTTGGGCTAATGTAAAAATAGCGGTTTGTAAAAAAAATCTTAGTTTAGGTTGAAAGGACTAAAGAGCACAACCTTCCTCACACGAATAATAGTAGCGTTGTGATACAATATGGAATAACGATGGTTCTATTTCCACCTGTGAGGACCATGCGTATTCTTCTTCTATGATCTTGCAGTTTCGATATTGGTCTCATGGGTCAATCTCTAATCTTATGTCATGTAAGCCAATACAAGTTCCTTATAAAGAAACTTTTATAGGAGTGCTAAGAATCCTCGCTGGTCCATAGGACGTTGGCTAAACGAGTCGTGTGATCTCTTGAATTTCTTTTAAATGAAGCCATTGATATATCTACCGTGTTCTTTCTTGGAAGATGTAGACGAATCTTTTCCTGCTAATTTGCCACTCTTACAATTCGCGCCGGACTGTCACAGGAGAAAAGACTCCTTTGTTCTCTCTAGGGTTTTGATCAAGATTTCGTTATGCCTCCTAATGGCAAATACTTCTTCTTGATAAACCCGTGACGTGGTGATGTGCCAAGAAAGACTGAATGACCAGAGATTACTTATTAAAATATGTTTGTGTTTAACATTAATATAAAAGACAAAAATAGGAACAACTTGCAAAATCTGTAGAAAATCACAAGAGAAGCATAAAGAAAAACATAAGAATAATATATTGATTAAACTATAACTGAGTAGATAGCGAGCCTCAGACGAAAAATGTATAACTTTGGATATAACATAGCATTTTAACGAAAATAAAAATACAAAACACGCTTGAAGTTGCATACATTCAAACTATTACGAACATGAGATGGAATCGAGTACGAATAGCATTGACAAAAAATAGGCTTGCAGATGGTAGGTAATTGTAGTTGGGTGTAATCAATTCCGTAGGGTGCGCAGACTTCGGGAAAGATAATTTTTCAAACAGCTAGCTAGGTTTCTTATCCACCATAAAGCGAAATAGAAAAATACAATTTATAGCTTTCAGGTATTCAGAAATACCGCACCCCAAGAGCACTGATTTCCATTCAGATATATGATCGTATTTCGCTAAGCGAAAAATATACCGAGTAACGTGATTGAGCACCACATCAATATAATGATAATAAACATCGTCTTAAAAAACATTAAGTGTAAATTATTATTAACATTTATCTTTCTAGCTCCACAGCTCAAAAACTCTTTGTCGGATGGCATTTGCTCACAGATTTTTTTTTTTGCAGAAAATTTCATGCCCTAAAAAAGCTGTATACTCGTTTTTCCCAAAAAAAAATTAATACCGAAAAATCGAATTGAAACCGAAAAATATGTCCCGTGTTATTTATATGGGAAATCGAATGTTTGAAAGAGCTATGCCTGTGATGCACTTAAAATTATTTTTTAAACTGCATAATTTTTTTATTTTCTATGAAGTATCAGATGCACAGGTAGCAAAGAGAAAAAAAAATATATCGCTTAAAAGTGAAACAACCTAATATATATACATCCATGTGCATACGTAAATGTAAGTTTGTTACAGTAGGTCATACTTGCGGTAACTATGTAAGTGACCTGCTACCTCTTCTAAGTGTTTGTCCAATCTATTCTAATTCATTTCACCAAGATCTTATCCAGTTCTTATAAACGTGGTGCACCCTTATTGATTCCATCTATTAAGGCTTGTTTCGAGACGCTGTCAAATAAATCAAGAGAGACTCCCATAGCTTTTTTGTCATCCCACTAAATCCATCTAACGATGCTAATCGAAGAACTTTTGAAACGACTACCCACCTAGTCAATTAAATACTTTTAAAAAAGCTTTGATTCTGTCACCATAAAAGTGTGTGAATCACAAGAGGACGAGTTTCAGGGACCTGCCAATTTACTATTTGACTTTGAAGGAAAGAAAAGCAGCGGAAACTGAATATTTAAATCTTTTAACTTTCCCATGGAGTAACTCTTCTCAGGACCATTCCATCTGACTCTGAACAATTTTGGATAATTGCTTACGGAGTGAAAGCCGCCGCCGTAGATAAAGTAAATGTTGAAGTATGGCTGTCAAAAGAAAGTGGTTAAAGAAATCCTACTACCATACCTACACAAAAGCGTTGAGGGTTTTCTGACGCCTAGCGTTAACGCCGAAGTGCAATACCTAAACAAAACCGGCAACGCTACGTCAAATGAATGACACCCAACAATAAGCATATGTTTGTTTGTGTGAACTACGAAAATGACAGTTTCGCGGTTTTTTGCAGACAACTTCACTTCCGAACGCCCTGTCAAAATCGGATTTTCTAACCGCTAAGCGTTGACGCCGCGTTATTTCGGTATGCTTCGTACAAATTGTATGGGCATGAGAATTTTTCGATAGTCAGATGGCAGTTGCAGGCGAAAATATTTTTTGGAAGGTTGCTACCTGTTTAAAAATTTTAATTTAATTTAATTATTAAATACTAGCAAATACCCGGTGTGTTTCGCTACGCCTTTAAAGTATTTTTGTTTTGTTACTCCCTCTCAACTATGAAATATATATATAAATATAAAATATTAGTTTATACTGCAGTACATATTTGTATAGTAGGCAAATTTTTCAAATTAGATAAATATACGGTATTTGAATACTAAATTAATATACGTTTGAGAATAGGATGCGATAGTAGACTCCAGTTATAAGATTATAAATTAAATTTCCAAGAGAAAGTCGGTTCTTTACATATTTTCTAATTACCTTCGAAAACATATGTATTAACTAACACCCATACTCAAAAAATNAAAAAATAAACAATGCTTCATAGATCGAAATTTGTTTTTAAAGTCTTACTTCATAAAGTTCTTTAAATATATTTAAAATGAGGCCAAGAGAGTTTTGGGAGAGACTTACAACACAAAAATACGGGGTTCACACTTCATGTGTTTGATTTGTTTCTAATTTCTAGGGTTGATGCATAAACATAAATAATAAATAAATATTAAATTTGAGCTTGATTAATACATTCTTAAAAACTTATCAGCACAAAAACAAAATCAAACCGATTTAATAGTTTTCCAAATATGTCGAGAACGGAGCGAGGAAAAAATTTAAAAAAAATCACACCTACGCACATCAAAATTCTCTATGAAAAGAAATATTAAAAAAAAAATGTTCTTGAAAAATGTTCCACATAAACATTTTTTGATAAAAAAATAGTTTTTGAAAATATGCCATCTCAAAAAAAATTAAAAAAAAATCACGATGGTAGCTCTGAGTATTGCGCAATATTTAAGTATAGTATTATAGGTTGCACTCTAAAATAATTTGAGTTATGAATTTTTTAATACCGAAGTTGGGTAAAGTGAGTACATTACAAATTTAAAAAATGTTTATATTTTTTTGAGATTATATTTTCATTCCATCGTAATATACATAATTTAAATGCGAAGTTCTTTTTCAAATAAACGTAAATCTGTTGTATATCGTTACAACTGAATTTCTAACAGATTTCGCTAAAAATTTTATATTTTTTTAACCATTTATACGCGCGTGATTTTTTTTTATTTCTTAAATTTAAATGGCTTTTGAACCAAAAATATCTATTTTCTATACTCATATCCTTCGGTTCATCGATATAAAAGATAATGAAAATAACATTTATGATATTGTGAATAAAATATAAGAATTTCACATTTTCTCCTCCTAAGCTGTTTGGCGGCTCAAAGAACTTCAAAACCGAAGCAGCTGTCGTCTTGCAATCAGGGCGCATATCGCTTCAGTAAATATTGATTTTCATGCTGTTACCTTTTAGGCCACCTGAATTAATAATGAAGAACGGATGTACAAAAATGGTGAGAAAATCTTTGCAACAAATTTTTTTATTGTCATTTTCGACAAGCCTTGAAGCCTTGAAAGCTATGCCAGTTAGCGCAATCATATCGATTTACTTCAAGGATGAATGGGTACACGACAACAGCCAGACAGACAGGCCTGGCGGATACATGATTATTGCTAAGTGGGAAGTTATTGTAGTATTTAGGCAAGTGAATAACGGTGTTTTTGCAATATCAAAAAACCGACAAAAAAAAAAAACAAAAATTACACAAAGATATCCTTGAAAAATATTTGATGCTTTTAGTTTGATGTCGTTGTGTGCTTTTTTGGTTGCTTGCTGGTTACCATTGTTTTGCAATCAGTGCAAGCTGAGAGAAATAAATGAAATTCAAAAATAGACACATTGAATGATTGTAACTTGTTTGTCACAACTCGACTAATATTCTTCATTCATTTCTGGTGTTATTATGCGCCTGTCTGATTATATCCCAAATGGGTATATGTGCATTTTGCTGGTAAAGAAGATATTAAATAAACAAACCGATAAGACGAGAAGAAAGAGAACAAAATAATTTTTGAGATTTATTTTCTAACTGCAATATCTATTTCGATTCTAAGATATTAAGAAATGATCAGAATTTCCATTTTAATACTCTATCCTTCTTTTCACATGGCATTCCTATTCTTCACTTATTTATGTACTTTATTTCCCCCTCTTTGCAGGTGGCTACTACTCCATTGAACAAACAAAAAGTCGCCTTCGTATAATTGCTCTGAATACAAATTTCATGCGTCACGATCACAAATCCCAGCCTAGCCATTTGGCAGCTGTGCGACAGCGCACTCCGAATGGTGCAGGTGGCAATGGCGATTCAGAGTATAAGACGTATTACTACCATCATGGTTCGATACATCAACATCACGGACATTCTTCCAGTGACTGGATGTCGCATGGTGGTGGCTATGGTGGCTATGGCGGTGGACATCATCGCGGCATGAACGCGATTCCGGCGTTAAGCGTAGGCGATGGGGGTGGGCGAGTGAGTGCTTTATCTGAATACGAGACCCAGGATGCTGAGAAGCAATGGGTGTGGCTGGAAGAGGTGCTCATCAAGTCGAAAGATAATAAAGAGACTGTAAGTTTTCACTTTTTGGCTTTTAAACTGTAATATGTACAAGCATAAATTTATGCACTTACATGTATATATATATGTATATGTAGATCTATTGATAGGCACATATTAATTACGTAATTACAACATTATGAATTTCTCAACAAATGTGGGAAATTAAATTCTCTACATATTTGTATTTAACCATTTTTTACGAAAAATGCAGAATAAGCTTGCAAAAAGCAAAAAAAAAAACAAAAAAACTTAAATCCAAGATGGCGGAATGTTGCCAAATGAAATTTAGGGGCAAGACCGTGGATTCATGATCTACGTGTCAAATAGAAGTAAACTGCATCAAAAGATTGCTGTTACAATTTTTTTTAAGAAAAAGGGTAAGTCTGGCAGCCTGGTGTTTGCCAGCAATACAATTTAAAAATTGAAAACTCAAACTCACACACACATTCTCATTTTCAATCTCAAACAACAACAAGTAAGAAAGTCTAAGTTCGGGCGGAGCCGAACATTAAATACCCGGCGCAAGTATTAAATATGTTTTTTCACCTTTCCGAAACCTTCCGCTAGATGGTAAGCCGGGGTGTATATATTTTAAGTAAATTAGCGTCCTTAAATTTCGAAATATTGAAATTTCAAGCATTTTTGAAATTTACCGTTATATGAAAAG